GGGAAGAGAAGGAGGGAGAGGGGTTGGGGGGGGGGGGGGGGCGAGTGTCTGAGACAAGGTTGTCGTCAAATATTCTGCCTGGCTAGCACCTGGAGCACCGGGCAGGATTTGCAGCCACACGCGCGGTCCCAAACTACAACAGCCAACCTGCAGACGTACAGAGCGTGAATGTGGTGCCCAGCATGAACAAACAACGAGGGGGAACACCAAACAAGTGCCGGCCATCGACTGCTGCGTCGAAAGGCACCATCCACCCAACAGCGCCATTCGTCTACAGACAGACCAAGACTTGCCCCTACATGCTGCGCGGGCGACTCTATCCCGCGCACACCTGCATGATGGGCTCCATAAGGCGCGCGCCGGCCTTCCTGAGCCCCTCCCTGCACGCTGCCCGGCCGGCGATCTCGAAGGCCATGACGGAGGAGTCGACGTCGTGGAAGGCGCCGTCGACGAGGACCGCCTTCATGCCCAGCACGGGGAAGCCGGCCAGCACACCGTTGGACAGCACCGACTCCACACCCTATGTTTGGTGTTGCAGGAGGAACGCGGGAAAAAGGAAAGAAAGGAAGGCAACAAAAAATGGGGTTTTGAGGAAAAAGAATGAGCTTCGTGAGGTCGTTGTTGTTGGCAGCGGTGGGATCGAGGAAAAGGAAACAAACGGGGGTGCGGGGACGACCTTCCTCCTGTCGAACACCGGATGGTACGTCAATACGTCTACACCAAGAGGTGTTCAGACTGGCTCCAGTATACAAGGGACGAACACCCACACACACTCACTAGAAACGGGTTCCTTTTGGGCCGCACAGAGTCTGGCTCATTTTCAGTGGTCACCCTGTTAGTGCAGTCCCAGATCATGGCCTTTGGCAGCATTTTCTGTTTCCAACCAAACTGTAACTGACGTATTTTCATCGGTCAGCCATTTTGGCGCGGTCCATCAAAAAACAGAAACACACACACACACTGATGTATTTTTCATTGGTCAACCGGTAAGCGCTGTCGATGCTAAAAAAATAAATAAACACGAACACACGCACACTTTTTGTCTCGTGTATTGTCAACCGTACTGAAACTGACGTCTTTCTCATTGGTCAACCGACTTTGTAGCGCCGTCCATGTATACAAAAAAACACACTCACGATGAGAGTGATGGTGGTGAAAGCAACAAGGGTGGCCGCGAAAGCACTCCAAAACGAACTCGAGTGCAAGGTAGCAGCCTTGGTAGACACGTGCAGGTTCCTCTGTTGCTACCGTTTCTGTCTTTAGTACAGGATAACAGCTTACTTAGCCCCCCCCCATGCCGCCCCCCTCACGGGGTCCCAGTTCATGTCATTTTCAAGTGTTTTGTGCTTTCACCCGCACTGAGACTGACGCCTTTTCATTGGTCAGCCGGTTAGCGCGGTCGATGCTATTATAATAATAAAGACACACACACAAAAGCACACACAAACACACCTTTTGCACGCCGGGGATGTACTCCTTGGGCACGGCTCCACCCTTGATCTCGGATACGAACTCGAAGTCGGACGTGGCTCCGTCCTCGTCCATGTCCGCCGGCACGAACTTGACCTTCACGCGAGCGAACTGCCCAGACCCGCCGGACTGCTTCTTGTGGGTGTAGTCCACCTCCGCGGGCCTCGTGATCGCCTCGCGGTACGCCACCTGCAGAAAAAATATAAATATATCGGCGTGGATGGGTCGACGAAACGGGTGACTCAACTATAGGCAGGGGTGTTTTTAAGAAAGAAAAAAAAAAGTTGGGCTATAGAACAAAAGAGGGACGGTCGTCGCGGCAGCAAAACACACGGAGAACTTCGGACGGCCAGCACACGATAAAACACTCACGCCCTACTCCACCCGCGTACCGTACCGTACCGTACCGTACAATACCGTACCTCGGGCGCGCCCACGTTGGCCTCAACGTTGAACTCCCTCTTCATGCGGTCCACGATGATCTCGAGGTGCAACTCGCCCATGCCCTCGATGACGGTCTGGCCCGTCTCGGTGTCGCGAGAGAAGCGGAAGGACGGGTCCTCGGCGGCGAGACGCGCGAGGGCGGTGGACATCTTCTCCTGGTCCGCCTTGGTCTTGGGCTCCACGGCCACCTGGGACGAGACAACAACAAAAAAAAAAAAGAGGGAAGCGCAATGGTTTTCAGCGAACATCTGGGACGAGCCAACAAAAAAAAAAAAAAAGGGAAGGGCAATGGTTTTCAGCGTAACATCTGGGACGCGACAAAAAAAAAAAAGAGAAGCAATGGTGGTTTTCAGCGTAAGGCTCTCAACGTTACTGAGCTCACCATTGGCCACCCGAGACGATACTAACCAAACCAAAAATTAACCCAAGTAGTAAGGATCGACTTTTAGCGCAAGGCTCTCAACGTGGTTGAGCCTACGATGGCTAATCGAGATCAGACAAGCAATGGAAAACAATCATGCATACAGGTTCTCGAACCGTTTGAGCCCGAACGCCACCCGACGAGATGGACCGAAACCGGGCTACGTTTTGAAGGCAAGGCTCTATTCTATCTATAACGTGATTCAAGTAAATGCGGCAACACGCAACGATCCGATCAAGGGAAAGTGTTCTATTATAGTTCTTCCGCATCACAACAAATGTCAGTTCGTTCGGTCTACGACAGCAACCTTCTCTTCGTCACCGAACACCACACACATGCACCGCACCGGGCGTAATTGCACCACACGTAATTACACCGCACCTTGATGACGGGGTCGGGGAAGTCCATCTTCTCAAGGATGATCGGCTTATCCTTCACGCACAGCGTCTCCCCGGTGGTGGTGTCCTGAATGTCATTGTTCCATGCCACATCGTCGAAAACACGTGGTTATTGAGGTGTACACCACATTGCTTAGTGCGAGGAACGTGAGATCGCGTTCCGCCGGAAGGAAGGCTCGAATCTCAGCAACTACACGCGACGTCGTGTCACGAGGAAAACCCGGACGACATCTTGTGCAGGCTACAGCTGTACCTGGGCAAGGCAGGGTTCCAATCCCAACTAGACGTCAGGCCGGGAGGTTGGTTCCATCGTAAGGGCCGTGAGGGACTTGGCGCGATGTGCTGTGCATGTCCGCAGGTGCGTACGCGCGCATGCATGCGCAGTATGCACGGGCCCGCAGCTACCAAGAAATATTGTGTTTGGAAACAGAGGCTCACACTTCGCCAAGAACAAGAGAAATGGGTTGAAAAGACACATCCCACCGGTCGATCCGCCGAATACCTCACGGCGCTTCGCGCTTGGTGATGTGAGAGCCTGGTCCGGTGAGAACCCGGCGTGCTCCGTCCCGGCTTTGTAGGGATGCGAAGTCAATGGTCTAACGACTACGGCATGCACGACTATGAGTACACCCCCCCCCCACCGGTCGGTCCTTACGCTACAACTCTAGAACACAACAATCTATGCTCGACAGTATTGGCGACGAGAAAATAAAATGAGCCTCGACCCGATTTTGACGTTTCTCATCTCCGGGCCGGTACCGCTGTAGTACAAGCAAAAGCATCTACCTTGAGTCCGCAGAGAGCGACGATGTCGCCGGCTCTGGCCTCCTTGATCTCCTCACGGTTGTTGGCGTGCATCTCGAGCATGCGGCCGACGCGCTCGGTCTTGCCCTGCACACGAAGTTGACACACACACAGTGTGTTCGATGGTCGGCTAGCTAGCGCGGTCCATGCTACTTGAAAAAAAAAACACACACATACACAAAAAAAAGATAGTAGATTGGTCTCCCCCATGCCGCCCCCTCACGGGGTCCCAGTTAGATAATGGCATTAACAAGTGGTTTGTGTTTTCAACCGCACAGAGACTGACGTCTTTTCATTGGTCAGCCGGGTAGCGCGGTCGATGCTATTAATAAACAAACAAGAAGAGAGAAGAGGCACGCGCAGCGGCGTGCAGAGCACATCATTACCGCACGAAACAGGTTATCCAGAGCGAGAGCAAGATACCGAGCAGAACAAATAGGCGGAAGAGGAAAAAAATAACAGGCGAGGGACGACCTCAAGCATATGCGGCCGCCGCGTTAGGTCTCGCCCTGTCTGCCGATGGTAAGGGCACGCCACGAGGGGGGTACTGCAGAAGGAAACCCACGCCACGAGAAACGCGAACATACAATCGTGATGGAAAAAAGACAGCCAAGACCAAACACCAACCTTGACCGAGTTGAACATTGAACAACCCCGGGGGGGGGTTCTGCAGAGTAGAATCAAAAGTCACGAGAAAATTCACCCCTTTACGGACACAAGACAAGACCGACCTTTGGCAGTTGAACCCGTAAGGGGCGGGGTACTGCAGAGGGGACTAAAAGTCACAATCACGAAAAAAAAAAAACACACCAAAAAGACAAGACGCACCTTGACGGAGTTGAACACGTTGGTGCCGGACATGAGGACGCCCGAGTAGATGCGGGTGAAGGTGAGGGTGCCGACGAAAGGGTCGGACATGATCTTGAAGGCCAGGGCTGCGAAAGGCTCGTCGTCCGACGAGGGGCGGTTCATCGCGGTCTCCCCGTCGACCTTGCACCAGGTAACAACGCCAAGAAAGACAACGACGCTATCATCATCATCATCATCATCATCATCAACAGCAGCAGCAACAACATCATCATCTCATCGACAACAACAACATCATTATCATCATCATCATCATCATCATCAACATCAACAACAACACAACAACATATCATCATCTACAACAGCATCAACGACGACGGTAATGGGTGTGCGCGGTTACGTAGATAACGAAAATAAACCGGCAAGGACGGTCGATACACTACACCAGTCGGCTAAAAGAACCAACACGAGACATCATCATCATTACCACCGCTGTTAGACTTCATCATCATCATTACCACTGCTGTTAGACTACATCAACATCATTACCACTGCTGTTGACTATCATCATCATTACCCCTGCTGTTTCCTCACCGAAACACCCTTGATCGCCTCCACCTCGATGGGCGAGGGCATGAAGTCCACCACGGCGTCCAGAAGGGGCTGCACGCCCTTGTTCTTGAAGGCCGTCCCTGTCAGCACCGGCACGAACACGTTCTCCAGGGTGCCCTTACGCAGGCACTTCTTGAGCACATCCACTGAAGGCTCCTCGCCCTGGAAGACCAACCGCGGCGGCGTAAAAAAAAAAGAACAAAAAGGGATGGCAGGTCAAGTCAGAGAGTCAAGCCACTCGCGCCCCGAAACACAAGTGGAATGAGAAAACGACCCCCGGTCCTCATTCATGCTATACCGCCACCACCACCACCACCACAACCGCCAGGCGACACCAACAACAAACCACCACGCCGCACGTCGAGGCAAGCCATCATGACGTCCGCTCCGCTCTACCACCGCTACCACCACCACCACCAACAACAACAACGACGCACATCGAGGTAGGCCATCATGACGTCCTCGTCCTGCTCCACCGCCAGCTCAACCAGCTCCTCGTGGTACTTGGCTGCCGACTCCTTCAGCTCGTCGTCGACGTGGGTAGATTCCGCCAGCGGGGTAACGTCGAAGTTGGCGCCGAGCTGCTCTCCGTTCCAGGTGATCGCCTGCCACACACCAAGCACGGCCGAAACAAGCAAGCGTGTGCGAGTGTATTGGTTAGTGTTGGCTGCGTACGCATGCCGACCAATGGTGGCTGCGTTTTGCTGACGTGGCTCGTGGTGGTATCGGCGTGTGCCGCGGCGGCGAGGAGTCTTGAATTAGATGACCATCTGTTGGTGCTGCCCCCCTCCGCCCCCCCTCCCCGGCTACGGCGAGGTCAACGGTCAAACGACTACGGCATGCACGACAATGGGTACCGACCGTTCTTGTCGCATTCCTTGCTCACAGCACCCGTCTCTGTCTATCTCTCTCTCTCTCCGACTCGACTCGACTCGACTCGCATTCCAGATTTTGTCCATCTCTCACCTTTGTCTTATCTTTATCCCTCTCTCTCCCTCGCCCTCTACACCTATAATTTCGTTTTCGTATGCACACTACTATCCTTTACGTTCTTTCATCCTCCGCCAAGCGACTCTGTGCCACTTCACCCTCCCCCCCCCCCCTCTCCTTGCTGCCCCAAACTCACCGTCATGGCGACGAGGTCGATGACGCCGAGGAAGTCCGCCTCGTTACCGATCGGGAGCTGCAGCACCGCCGGCACGGCCTTCAAGTTGTCCTGGCATATCATAGGTCACGGTAGACGAATCACGAATCACGAATCAACCAAAGATAAATACAGTCGTAGGCCCTCTGTAAGGCGGGTGCCCGCTACAGGGACGGGTGAAATTGGCTGGCGCAGATGGAACACTCAATACTCAAGACGGTTAACACGTTGAATAGGGCGGGTGAATCGGTCTGACGCATACCCGCCGAATAGATGGCTTACGACCGTACGAAGATGCCGAACTCGTTCCATCCACCGGCATAGACTACGAAGCCGCAGGTGTGCCACCACAATACAACACCTTGATCATCCGGACCGCGCGGTATTTATAAGTTGGCTTGTTTTGACTCTGTTTAAGCCTACACTCTCAATGAACAAACTCTTGCAGCTACCTTGATCACCTGAACCGCTTGGCAGAAGTTGGCTTCTTTCAGGTCTGTTGAAGCCCATACACTGAATGATAAGAACTCTTGCAGCTAGGTAAGGAGGAACCCTGATAATCTGTACCGCGCGGCAGAAATCGGCGTAACTCAGTCTGTCCAAGCCCATACACACAACTACCAACTCTTGCAGCTAGAAAAGGACGGACCTTGATCATCTGAACCGCGCGGTAGAAGTTGGCGCCGGTGCGGTCCATCTTGTTGACGAAACACATGCGCGGTACGCCGTACTTGTCCGCCTGAGAAAAAAAAAAGAGAAGACAAAGAAGAAGAAGAAGAAGAGATAAAAACAAAAAGAAAAGAAAAGGAATATAAGACAGAGAAAGCCAACCAAAACTAACACTAGCGGCGGAACAGGGGCGGTTGACCACTGCGATCAAAGCAACAGCCACGTTGACCGTGATCACCCGTTTCGTGAGCATGGATACATTTTCGCGACTGTCATACCACCCTTTGTCCAAACTAGTCGTTGCCTGCCGGGCGTCAAGACTGTCGCATGACCACCCGCGACAAAACTGTTGAGCGTGTGGCCCTCGAAAAAAAAAACGACAACGACCAGAAAACACGTGTATTCGCACACGATTGCCGCTAACGCTCCAGACCCACTAAAATCCTCCTGGAAAGGCGGTTAAACAAATACATATGATGAACACGGGGTGCCGAGCGCATGCAATCGAGCCCTGCCACTACTTACTGTTAGCCTGGAGAGGTACAACCAGAGCCTAGAGCACAGCCACAGAGAACAACTACAACCGTCCAGAAATACAACACCGCCTATTGCTGTGGAAGGACAAGGAGCAACCCTCGATACGCTTGTGCTTCGCTGTCAGCCATGAAAACAGTAACAGAGAGCGAAACGAAAACATGAACAACACCGTTTGTGTCATCTCCAATCATCGCTGCCGCGAGCACCCACCTGCCGCCACACCGTCTCCGACTGCGGCTCCACCCCGGCCACCCCGTCGAACACCGCCACCGCGCCGTCGAGAACGCGGAGGGACCGCTCCACCTCCAGGGTGAAGTCCACGTGGCCCGGGGTGTCGATGATGTTGATCCGGTGGTCCTTCCACGCGCACGTGGTGGCCGCGGAGGTGATAGTGATGCCACGTTCCTGTTCCTGTTCCATCCAGTCCATGGTCGCCGCGCTTTTGTGCACCTGCAGGGGGGGGGGGGGGGGACGCAGATAGGTAAGGCGTGGGTGCGTTGACGATGTTCTACAAAATATACATATATACATCGATGGCACAAAACTCCAAAGCATGCAAGAAAAAAAAAACAGGCGTCCACGATTAACGCTCCAAAATCAACACCTACGCCAGAGCTGGCTGGGCGAGGAAAAACACGACGGGTGCCAACGCTCGTTAATCTCGTGGGATGCTCACTAAACCCCTTTGAACATCAGAAGCGTTAAACAAACCGTCATGCAACGCCAGAGAGCGGCCGAGCTACGCGGCTAGGAGAGCACAAAGGCACTACGCAACCCCTTGCACGTCAGGGACGCATTGAGAAATCGCCACCGTACGCCAGAGAGCGGTCTTGGACAGGAAAGGGACGAAACCCTCACCTCGCCGATCCTGTACATATATGTCCCATCATACAGTAAGTGGTCCCGGGAATATGCCGGTCGAATAGTGCCAATTACGCTGTAGAGTGCTGGTGAAATCGTCTAGCACAGAAAAAATACTCGAGATGTTTCATACTCTGAAAAATGCCCGTTGCCCGCTGCAATACCGTTGAAAAAATCGGCTGAATCGCACCGGCATTACGCCGGGACTACTCTACTGGTGTATCTCACCTCGCCGATCTTGTACGACTTTCCGGTATAGAAGAGGATGCGCTCCGTGGTCGTGGTCTTGCCGGCGTCAATGTGCGCCATGATACCGATGTTGCGGTACATGTCCAGCGAGATCTTGCGTCCCGAGGCGGTGGCGGCCTCGGCCATTCTTCAATCACCGCACGGAAACGGAAGACACCGTTGACAAGGGGAGAAACGTACGGAGTCAAGACAACAGGGCTTCAAAATAGGAGTGAAAAACTTGCGTTTGACAAGAGCGAGGTGTGAGAGAACTTTAGGGGGGGGGCTCGGCCATTCTTCAAGAAAACGAAGACAGAACGCCACGAACAGGAGGAAGTAGACAGTATGCATAGCTCCAAACAGGAGTACCAGACTTACACTCGACTACGAAGACGCGCCACCAAGACCAGGAGGGACGCACGCGTTCGGAGTTAAGATGTTGGGCCTAGCTTCGAATACAAAACTTACGTTTTGACAAGGGCGAGGCGTGAGAACCTCTAGCGGGGCCTCGACCATTCGTTTTTTATACATCCATCGCTTGAAATCAGCGCTCACAGCATCTCTGCCGGATCGAGTAGCTTCAACAATCCGTGGTCACACAGAACATTTCCCCTCCCTGGCCCTGCCCCCTAAATTACCTACCACACCCACAAAACTCCGTCGTCACATATTCCTCGCCCTGACGCAACCTAAATTACCCACCCGAACAACAAAACCCGGACAAACACCTAGAACAGCAGATACTAGGAGGTTCGCTTGTTACCTGAGGCCGGTCTTGGAGGCCCTCTTGGTGGCGGCGGCCGTTGGCCTCGACGCTGCCGCGTCAATCCATCGGCTCGATGGCGACGACACTCCCTGAGAATCGTTCAAAAAAACATGGTGGGACAATACCAAGGGAGTTGTTGACATAATTTACCTATTTTAGTATTTTCGGAGGCAATGCACACATGAAGCGCTCACCGTTGTCGGGAGGAACAGAACCGACGAAACGCTCATGGGAGGACCACAAAAACGAAAAAAATGTGGAGTATTAACCAGCGAAAGAGGAGAAAATGACCCAACGAAAGAAGTGTAATAAGGCAACGGGAATGTGCGAGATTACTATCTACAGCTGGTGCAACCACTGTAAAAGCCGAAGCTAAAGGGTTGGGTTTTAGCACGTATCCCGGCTGCAGCGTCAGTGCTTCGGGAACAGAGCAGGACACACACCTGCTGCTCAAAGCTATCTCACAGCAAGTACGAATGAATGTGTTTTTAGATCATTGAGGCCTACGTACCCATGCAGCAAAACATCCTTCGCGACACACACCGAAAGAAGATCCGTGGAAAGAAAGCAACCGGAAGGAACGACTTGGCGGCGAAAGGTACACGCGCCGCCTCTCTGCAGTGTTCCACGCCGGACAATCGACAGCAGCAGCAGCAGCAGGACTGGTGGACACATTCGAGGTATTTTATTCGCCAACAACGGCAGCCGTGCCGCGGAGTGGATTGCTCTGACTGATCTTTGGCATGCAACCCGGGTCGGAAAACGGGGAGCTGTGTCCGCACTTATAGGTACGTTTCCGAGATGCTTCCTGCTGCTGCTGCCACCGAGAATGCTTGCTCTGCAACTACTGCAATTGCGCCCCTTCAAGGTGTTTTCTGCTGCTGCTGCCGCCGAGAATGCTTGCTCTGCAACTACTGCTTGTGCGCCGCTTCAAGATGCTTTCTGCTGCTGCTGCCGCCGAGAATGGTCGCTCTTACTTGTACTGCTATTGCGCCGATAGGTGTGTTACAGCAGCTAGCGCCCTTTAGAACCTCTTGTGCGCTACAAGATCGCCTCTAACAGCTCTGTTGTGGTGTAGGGTTGTTACCCGAGCACACAAACGTGCCAAAGTTTATGAATTGTTAGTTTTCGAGGCTCAATTCCCGAAGCACTTCTGCCAACTTCTTGAGTGCGGGCACTATACAGGAACATGCGCAATTCTCCTGGGACGTGACTCTCCTTGTCATCAGGGCCCTTACTTCCGTCGATTTACATACTCGGGAGTAAGCAGTTTGCCACATTATCAGCATCAACATTCCACGAATTGATAAATAATACACGCCGTCGACGATCCAAGGGCCGACAGCGGCAGAGTTGGCACCATGGGAGTGCCCCCCGGCAAACTTATATCTCTTACAACGCGAGAACACGCGTAATCGCAAACAAGCAACCCCCAGGGTTTCGTGCTGCTACAGCAGTACAAGTATACCCTCCGGACCAGCATCAAGTCAAGGGCGGGATGTGATCCCTGCATGATGTTGACAGCACCGGACGCCAACGAGCTTGCAACAACGGCTGGTACTACTACTGCTGTGTGTCTGAAAAGGTGCACCATATTGCTTGCAAGCGTACTTCAATTCAAGCGGTGACAACACCCCCCAAGGTGTCGGTGGCATACTACGACGTGCCCGGTGGCATGCCCGGGGGTGCGTACACTTAAAAACGTCGTCTGCCCGAAACAGCAACCACAGACGGTCCTCCAGCCTTATCTTATTTCTCCGTCCTATTTTACTGCTACAGCAGTAGTAGATAGAAACAGCGTGGTAGGCGACCCACGATCATGTAGTGTTGTCGCCAGTGAACGGCGGCGGTGCTAATATGAGACACTGCTGCTGTGTTAACGTGTTCACCTAGCCCGTTCGTACGCGTTGGTGGAGGTTTCCGAAGAGAAGCGGGTACTACTGAGGCGGTTCGCGTTTTGCAATGAGAAAGGATTGCCTGTGAGGCTACGTGTGTCGGTAGTCCGTAGCGGCCGTCTTTGCGTGGGATAGCCACAGCAGGCAGTTGTTGCAGGTGTACGGCCACCTGTCGAAGCATCTAGCAGGTCGGGGTGAAACATGACTGACTGCCGTTGTCGAGAGCGGCACCTAGAGAACGGGGGCCGGCGCGGGGTTAGGCCCTGCTGGTTGTACGTATTAGGCTCGGACCACCCTTGGCAATCTTCAACACATGATAGAATGAGACGTGGTGGTTGCTGCTGACGCTGCTGTCGTGTCTCGGTGTGTGTCGCGCCCAAAAACCGAGACTTCATGAGTCAACATGCGCCACAGCCAAACCAGACGTGCTCTGCAAAACCAAGGCTAAGAAACCGGCGTGGGAGAAAATTAGTCGGGGTGTGTGCCAAGAGTTGAGGCAAAGCTGTTGTGCTGGTGTTGTCAGCGCACTCCGGGCTACCTGCACCGCTGGCAGTTGGACACGTACACGTACGCTCATAAAAATCATATTGGGCGGCTGCGGTGACTCACCTTGGCGACACCGGCGTTCGGTGCCACGAACCCTACGGCGGAGGGCAGCCCAAGGCCGACTGCCGCGACGACAGCACATGTCCTCATCTTTGGTTGGGCTGGGGTGTGCAGCGCGTCGAGTGCACGTAGACTATAGAGAGAGAGACCTGCGTGGTGAGATAGGCGACCCCCGGCAGCGCTGCTAGCGAGGAGGCACGCAAGATAGGATTACCCCCCCCCAGGGATAATGACGTCAGCATTCACGGAGACCCCAACTCCTTTTTCTCCGCTCAACGCACAACGAGAGTACAAGTATCGCACGGGCGGACGTAATGTCGTCTTCAGCGCCTGCCTCTCCCTGTGGCAACCACAACGGGCAGCAGGTGGGAACACAGGGGAACATGAGCGTTGAAGCGTTGCCCGAAAAGTGGAAGAATTCCGGACCATCACCATCAGAACGAGAGTCTGGGTAGTTTGCCAGAAGCAATCACCGACAACACACACAACAAGTCGGACCCTCTTGCTTCGTCGGCCTGCAGTCCGGAAAGTTAGTCAGTCTTCCCTCCCCATGGCATCAACTAGAGGCAGAAACTTGGCGTCTGCGCCTGCCTGCCTGGCTCGTTCTCTGCTGCTCCCGCTTGCATGCGTGACCACGCTGTGTTGCGCAACAAAACCGCTCGCTAACTGCTATGTGTTTTCATGAATGGATGTTGCGTTCACGCCCAAGCAGCAGGGTAGGGTTGTACACGGCGGCCTCTCGGAATCGGACACCGATGATGACAACTCGCTTGGTTCGGTGCCGCGATCGAGCAACGCCGGCTCGCCTCCCGGCGGAGGCACGACGCCGAAGCTCCGGAGAAAGCTGAGCAAAAGGAGCCTGGTGAGGACGGAGAGAGAGCAGAAAGCCCACAGCAGCTGTGGGCTGTGGGGGCAAGATTGATTGCTGAATTTGGAATTTGGTTCCCTCTCGGGCAAACTTGAGGGTCAATCATGCCGTGTGCGCGAGAGACGAATCTTGGGGCATGTCGGCATGTCACACTACACAGCTACACAGCAGCCACACCGCGCAGTCCGATCCATCCACTCAAGCAAACGGGCGTGTGCTCTCGACTCGTGACCTTCTACTGTTGCTGCTGCGAAGTGGTGGTGGTGGTGGTGCACATGTGCTTAACCGGCACCGCCGCCTGGAACCACCATGCCTTTATGTGGCAAATCGCGGTGTGTTTCCACGTGTCAATGCACGTACTGCTGTACACACCATCCGTAGTTTGCAAAGATATCACACCCACCTCGGGAGAGATTTTCATATATATGTAGCTCGATTTCTCGGCCGGAAAAGCCGTGGCAGTGCCGGAAAATGGCGGCGTTGGAACTGCTGTCCCTCGTCGAGAGCTTTCCGAAAATGTGTCATTTGATTTCGGACCCTCTTTTCTTCCCGGAACAGCGGTAGTATCACATGCACACTCCGAAGAGGTTTGAAATTCGTGCCAGGAGGTGTGGCATCTTAAGTACGTCGGTAGTGGTCTGTCAACGCATTCATTCATGGCCTGTGCTGCGTGTAGCGCAAGGCGGTGGTTCAGACGTTGCAGCGTGTTTTTGGTGTGGTTGTCCCATACCACGTGCTTGCTGCCAAGCGTTTCGAGCTGCGCATCATCGCACCACAATTCGCGGGGAGGTTCGAGGGCTCTGGGATCCTGAGGCCCCGTCGGTGCTTACCGGAAGAGGCGGAGAGATGCCCCCCCCCCCCATTCAAAACTCGATTTCTCCGCAAGCAATCTTGTTCCAACACTTACTACCGTAGGGGTGTTTTTTTTTTTCTGAATAATTTATGACCCAACGAATCCCTCTCAATCTAAGAAAAAAGTCTAAAAAAAATTAGCAATGAATTCGGTTTTGAAAACATCCCGTTTGAGGGGGTTCCTTAAACGCATCGGGCTCTCTCCGTACTGGAGAAATCGAGCTTCGAATGTCGGTGGAAGGGGGGTGGGTGCCATCTCTCCCTCCGCCTCTTTACGGCACATGCCCTTTGGACGGATCTTCCTCGTACCACATGCACAGAAGGAACGTGGTTGTTTCTTACAACATCGATCTAGCACTCGTCCGTCCCACATCCCACTGGCTTGCCCCCCCCCCCCCAAATGGGCTAACGGCTACATATGAGTACCGCTTGTAAGAGCCGGAGAGATGGCACCAGCCCAGTAGATTGGACCGGGGTGCGAAAAAAAAGCGAAAACTGCATGATTTTTTTTTCGTTCGGTGCGATCTGGCCGAGCCTCAAATCCAAGAGTTGGCGATTTTTGAGCTCCCGTAAATGCGCACTGCTGTACCTGTTGCATGCGGCGCGGGATTTTCTGTTGTTTTCACGTAGTCAGCACGGAATTTGGAAACCTCGCGTGTACCTGAGCCCCGCCAGGCAAGGAAATCTACTGTACTGCTCGCTGACGTACTGGTCTTCGTACAAGCGCGAGACAAGCTGATGCCGTGTGTTACCGGTACCCCAGATGGAATCCACATCGTTTTTTGTCGTTGTCGCGCCATAGCCAACTCGCGTTCAACACACATGACCACTCGCTGCATGGGAAGCTGCTACGGTGCACCGCGCATCGCCTGGTTGCGGATATCGACACTGGTACCAATGCTGAGACGCGGAGAGATTGCACCTGTCGGGAGGGGTGGCACCGGGGTGCGTGCGTGCATACAACAAAGCCGTAGCACTAGTAAAGGCTGTTGTGTGTATTTTCGTCGGGCATCCCACCGATCGGACAGATCGCACCCGGGGGTGCCTTGAAAAAGCTAAAAATGAAATAATTTGTTTGCGTTCCGCACCGGGGTTGGAGAGATCACACCGGGGTGCGACAATAAACACGAAGTGAAAGCAATACCTCCACATGAAAAACAATCGCACCCGGTGCCATCTTTCCGACTCTTACGGCTACCCCTCCACCCCAAATCTATTCTGCGGCACCCCCGAGCAGTTCCGACGGAGGCAGTCCAAGGTCGACCCTCTATCATAGCCTCCTCCTCCGGCGCGAAAGGAACGGTGCCCCCCCCCCCCCCCCAATTGTGTTTTGGGGCCCCCCCCGGCCCCCCCCTTTAACCCCCCCCCCCCCCCCCCCCAAAAATTTTTGTCCCCCCCCCCTAAGTCACCCCCAAAAAAAAAACCAAGGGGGCCCC